AAAAATCAGAATCATTTCTCCAAATAAATTGGAGAAAATGAAGACTCAAACTTTAAAATGTGAAGAGCTCCTATGATTCAAATATAGAAATAATATTAAGCAACTCTATAATAAAACCATAAAACATTAGGAACTTTAAACTTTTAAATAAATGGAGGAAAGTATTACAAAATTAAAAAGATAGAAAATAGACCTGTAAAATAGTGTAAAAATGTCAAGTCTTCCCTAGTCAAATTCTCAGCATATTTATGTTTATGCATGAAAACCGATAAGCTAATATAGGAAAGCAAATACCACGAAGAATAAGGTGGGAAGATTTAAGATGCGTGTAAAAAAATATTTCTAAAATTACAGACCAGCACAGCAGAAGAGAAACCAGAATCCAATCCACAATGTATGGATACCTAATTTATGGTAAGGGACGCCTGGAGGCATAGTCTGTAGTGAATTGCACTGTTAAACCATGTTGTTGTTGTTGTGTACCGCTGTGTCAGAACCAACCCACTGTTGACCCCTCCAGGGGGTTTTCAGAAGCAGTTAATCACACAGGAGGAGACTGCCCATCCTTCGGTAAAGCAGCTGGTGGATTTGAACTGTGTGCCTTTGGGATTGCAGTGCAGTGTCTTACCATTAGGCCACCACAGCTCCCTCTGCTAACCCATAGGCAGTTCAAAATGAGCAGTTCTAAGGGAGAAAGAAGGGCAACATATTCCTCTGTGATTTATATCCTCAGAAAGCCAATACATAGTCAGATATGGGTTGCCTCTGATTCAACAATGAGTTTTGATTTATGGCAATGTAATGTAATTGAGAAAAAGATAGTCTTTTCAATACATACTGTTCAATCAACTGGGTATCTATATGGAAAAATGATGAAAGCTTTATACCTATCTCATATATGAAGAATAATTACAAGTGAATTTCAGAGAGATGAAATAATAAAACTTCTAGAAGATCAAGAAATATTTTTATGACTCTGAGGCAGAAACTCACCATAGAAGAAACAACTGATAAACAGTATTACATTACAAATGATAAACTTCTATTTAACAAAAGGCATAGCTAGAGTGGAGCAAGATATGTGAAAAACCTACAACTGACAATTTATATATATTCAAAATACATAAATAATTCTAATAAATTAATAAAAAGACAAGCCAATTAAAAATAAGGAAGAAAGTTGAACAAGCACTTCATCACAAAGAACATAGAAGAAATGTCCAATAAATATAAAAAACAGCCCTATCTCATTATTAGTCATAGAAATGCAACATAAAATCACAATGAGTTACCAGTGAAATCCCATTACACACCCACAAGAATAAACAAATTGAAAACAAAAACTGTACACAAAAAGTTCTAATGAAGATTCAGGTGTGAATTGCAATTAACTTGGCAAAGATCTTCTGTGATTCAACAAACTCATTACGTGGTACTTTACCAAATACAAGTGTCTGCACACGTATCTCACAAAATATGTACAAGAATATCCAGTCACGTTACTTTTAATAGCTTCTAAGAGCAAGCAACTAAAAACTTGCAGAATAAATTTAAGTATATTCATCCAATAATTAGTCCAGCACACAAACAACACCCTTGGTACCAGCAGTCAGGAAAACAGATGATATATTACAATGGGCAAGTCTGCTGTGAAGGATCTCCAGAATGCTGAGGAGCAATGATGTTAAGTATGAAGACTAAGGTGTGCCTGATAAAAGCCATGGTCTTCTTAATCACCAGCTATACACTGGAGAGCTGGACCATATATAAGTATGACAGAAGAATTGATGCCTTTGAGTTTTGGTGTTGGAAAAGAGTGCTGAATATCTTATGTACTGCCAAAAGAATAAACAGATATGTCTTGGGAAAAGTACAGCCTCCTAAGAAGCAAAGATGGCGAAGCTTCATGTTTCATACTTTAAGCATGTAGCTAGGCAAGGCTATTCCTTGGAAAGGGATTTCATGCTAGAAAAGATGGAGGGTCAGTGGAGGAGGGGACCCCCTACAAGAAAGATGCAGTGACTTCAGCAACGGGCTCTAGTGCGTAAGAGATGATGAGGCTGGCAGGATTCAGGTTGGCTGTTCACAGGGTCACTATAAGTTGTATTCCACTCAATGGCATCTGACACCATCACCACAACACATTATAGCATGAATTTCAAATTACAATGATGAATTAAAAAAATCAGACATCACGGATACATTCTGTTATTCTATTTCTATAACGTTTAAAAAGCAAAGCAAACGTGGTGTTATAAGTCAAAAGAGTGGTTATCATTGGAGAGCAGGGGAGTGTTTGAGGGAATGAGGGGAGCTTCTGAACTGCTGATAATATTCTATGGTAATTACTGAGTGAAATACATACGATCTGTTGTATATGTACTGTCTTTCAATAGAGAAAGGGAAAAAAATCTCTGTGATAAACAGACACAGTTGTAAATACTGAGGAAATCTAAATACTGAGAAAACTAGACAAAATAACATTGTATATCATTTTTACTCACTGACCTACTTCTATTTGTGAGTAATGTGATATGCTCAATACAGACACTTAGAAATACTAGAGAGAAAAAAAAATCTACTAACTACAAGACAGATGAGATATACAATCTGCCTCTTTTGCCCATGAATTCCTGTTCTTTTCAGAAAAAAAAAACACAAAAACCCTAAAAATGAATAAGTCTTTTAGATCTTGACCCTAGAAAGTAAGTAAATCTTTGAAATAAAAATATATTTGTCTTATATAGTTTCATCTAAGACACTAGGTTTCTTTTTCATTTATCATACTACTTTTTAACTTAAAACCAAGCAAGTTTAGCTGACCATACTCTTTTTTAGAGCATATAAAAGATTTGGGAAGATGCAATTATAAAATTTTACCTGTAAGAAGTCAATCTGCATGCATGTGCTTGGCAACTTTGATGTTGGAAAGCAAGAAGAGGATCTCATTAATTTTTCAGACTCAACACTATCTGGAAACAGATTGCAGCTTAGCTGTGAGCTGTGTTTTCTGACCATCGCAGGACTAGTAGCTGATCCTTTCACTTGGTGCCCTTGAAACTCAACAAGCTACAGGTAAATAATTTAAAATGAGGGCTACATAAGGATATACTGACAAATATATTAATTGTGTATTTATATAGAAAGTAATAAATAATTCAGCTTTCTATTAAATATCCACTGTAAATAATAGCTAAGGAAGCAATATTTGCAACCAGGAATTCTAAAATATATGTTAAGGATAAACTTTAATAAAGTATATTGATTTAATTACCTTCAATTTCAACATTAACATGAGTTATTATGAGCACAGAAATGAGTAAACAATAACAAAGCCAAAAAAGACTTGATCATTCCTTTCTTTATACAACTTTTTACTACAGAGTTATTATACTGTTGTTATTATATGCCATCAAGTCTCCAGCAACTCATAGCGACCCCTATGTACAATTGCTCTGAAGCCTGCTCTGTCCTGAGGCAGTCTCATTGGCTCCGACACACCTACTTTTCTGTTGCCCTGGTTAGTGTATCAATCCATCTCATCCAGGATCTTCCTCTCCTGCCCTATCCCTCCACCCTTCCAAGCATGCTGTCCTTCTCCAAGGATCTGTCTCTCCTGGCCATGTGCCCAAAGTATGTGAGAGTGAGCTTCAAAATCCTAGCCTCCAAGGAGAAACTTAGTTTCACGCTCTCCAAGACACACCTACTTATTTTCTTGGCCGTACATGGTATGTTCAAGACTCTTCTCCAGCAGCAAAACTCAAAGGCATTAATTGTTCTTTTATCATCCTTAGTCATTATTCAGCTCTCTGATGGATAACAAGTAATTGTGAAGACCATGGATTGTATCAGGCTCACCTTAGTCTCTAGAATGACCTTGTTGCTTCTCAGCACTCTGGAGAGGTCCTTGACAGCAAATTTTCCCAGTGCAATTTGTCTTTTGATTTCCTGACTGCTGGTGCCAAAAAAGTGGTTGGTTGTAGAGCCGAGCAAACTGTAATTGTTAACAACCTCAATCTCTTCTCCATCCATCACGGTGCTGCCAATTGGCCCAGTGGTGAGCATCTTGTCTTCTTAATGTTGAGGTTCAATCTACATTGCAGTCCTTGACCTGCAGCAAGTGCTTTAGGTCCTCCTCAGTTTCAGCAAGCAAATCCAATGAAATTTATTCTTCTCTGTATACACTATACTATAAGCTCCTTGATAGCAGAAACCTTTGGTATTATCGTCTTGGTACTTAACAAAGTGCTAAGCATATAAGAAAAAAAAAATCAATAAATACGTAACAATAGAAAGAGAAGAAAAGGAAGGAATACAGGAAGCATTTCCTTAAGAGTTTTGTTTTTAGGTTGTTTTTTCCTTCTTTTTTGTAAACAACCAAGTTTAAAATATTATGGGCCTCTGTCTCCCCTCAGAATATTTGATAGCCTGTTCGTCTAAAAGCAAAAACTTAAGAGTATGACTCCAAAGCAGGAATGTACTCTCAGAGAGGCTCCTATATGTCCAGGGATGCCCCTCAGAGATGGCATTGTCTGTGTTCACATTTCCTGCTGCCATTCGGCTTACTCTGCTGCCCCCTTGAGGTTTCTTGGATTTTTACTCTACCTAGTCACAAGGGGAAGAAATAGTCAACAGCCAACCAATGTGTAGAAAAGAGTAATTTATTTCTAAGTGATTAGCTAAATCAACAATAATTTATCATATCACTATAATCTTAACACACACATGAAAGGAAAATTACATCCAATATGCTCCTCATATAACATGTTGAAAATACTCTTCTGAAGTTAAGAACATAAACATCATCATTTTTAAATGTCTGAACTGTTAAAAACTCAGAATATTTATGTTTGATGGAAGTGCAGAGGATCAAAAAGCAAATAAGTGCCTTTGTTTTCTATTCTGCCAAGTAGAACTCTTCCGGAAGTCAGCTGAGCCCAAGTCAGTATCACTATTCAAAAAAAAATTTACAAAAAAGCAAATAGCTTTGGTATGTGTTTGTGTACATGTTTTTGTTTCCATTACTCTTTGATGCGGAGTAGGTAGTACTATGGTGACCTGTTCAACAAAGTGGCTATTGTGCTTGGGTGCCAACTGAAAGGTGGATAATCCAAACCTAGGGAGTGGAAGAAAAATGGTGGTAGTCTCCTTCCATAAGATTCTAGCCTTGGGAACACTGTGGGGCAATTCTTCTGCTCTAAAGGAACACTAAGAGTCAGAATTTAATTCAACACAATGGATTTAGGTTGGTAGCCAGGTAGTAAGGAGGTACACTAGGAACTCAAAGGTCTATGGTTCAAATCCATAAGCTGCTCCTTGAGAAAAAAAATGAGCAATCTCCTCCCTGGCAATTCACTGCCTCTGAAAATCTGCTTGGAGGGACAGCTATGAGTCAGTTCTGACTCAATGGCATACAGCAGCAACAACAATCAGAGTATAAGGACCCCTAGTGGAGTAGGGTGTAACATACCACCCTGCTAACCAGAGGGTTGCGGTGCAAATTCAACAGTTGTGAAGCAGGGGAAAGATAGGCAGTCTCCTCCATAAAGGTTTCCATCCTCAGAAACCCAACTGAGGCTCACACTGAGTGAGAACTGCCTCCACAGCGGTACATAGGTAATTAGAGTCTGCATTATATACACTTGTATAAGTAACTTGAGATATGTTATCAGGTAGAACCAATCCCTGAAGAAAGACATCATACTTGGTAAACTAGAAAAATCAATAAAAAAGAAGACAACCTTCAAAGAGATGAACTCAAAGAGTGGCCTGCAATAAGGGGCTGAAGGGCCAAAGCAATCGTGAGAATGGCACAGGACTGAGCACTGTTTTGTTCTGTGGGATATACAGGTGGCCACGAGAGGGAAACAACACAGTGGCATTTAAGAACAATCATAACCAACCACAACAACAATTAACAACTATAAATTGAGTCAAAAAGTATAACTGGTAGAGTAGATTATTATAAGTTAATTTTGTTTTTCATAGATCATTCAAGAATTGTTCTTTACATGTCTTTCTATCTATCCTTAAAGTAATATATATAGACAGTGTACATATAGTATTATTAGCTCAATATTAGAGAGGAGATTCAAAACAGGAAAGAAAAAAAGGAGTTGGGAAGGAGGAATTATTTTCTGCTATGAAACCTTGATATTAGTGGAGATAATAACAGGAAAACAATGGGTAAGAAAATTGAGGTTGTTCACAAATTTTTAGGACTAACATTTAAAAAAATCATTCTTTTCTTCACTTTCCAAGGGAAAGAACTAGGAAAAAATTATCAGTAAATATACTGTCTAGAATAGTTCTGGAGGTGATCTGTAAGTTTGATGGGGGGAAAAAAATTCCCCAAACCTAAAAAGTTATATTTGTGCTTGAAAATTTACTTAAGGCTGCTGCTATCTTTTTTCTTTTTCTTAGTAAGTATGCATGTATATAATCTATCCTTCAATTACAAGTCATACAAGGTGAACAGACACATGAAGAAATGCTCCAAATCACTGGCAGTAAGAGAGATGCAAACCAAAATAAGAGTGACAAAGTTAACAGGGCAGCAAGCAATAGATGCTAGAGAGGATATAGTAAGAAAGGAACTCTTATACATAGTTGTTGGGATTGTAAAATGGTGCAACCATTCTGGAAGGCAGTTTGGAGCTTCCTCAAAAAGCTGAACATAGAAATTCCATATGACCCAGCTATTCCACTACTTGGAACTGAGGCACAAACTGAGATTTGTACTACAATGTTCATAGCAGCTTTATGCACCATCACAAGAACATGGAAACAGCCCAAATGTCTAACCACAAATGGATTGAGAAATTACCGTACACTCTCACATTGGAATACTATGCAGCATGCAGGAGCAACAACTTTGTAAATTATTACCTAACTTGGGAGGGACTGGAGAGCATTATGCTGAGTGAACTAAACAGTCCCACAAGGATAAATATTGTATAAGACTGTTATTGTAAAATCAGTATAAGGATCCAGGAGGGGTGGGAGAGGCTGGAAGCAGAGGGATGTGCAGGGGGAAGAGGGGATTAATTATTGGATTGTACAATTTAATGGGGGGGGGGTTGAAGGAAATTGAAATAATTTTTTCAAATTTGTATTAGAATTTTGTAAATAAACTAGTAAAAAAAGAATTTTTTAACAGAGTATTAGATTAATTCATTTTTAAAACTAAACACATTCGAAAATTAAGATTCTAAAATTTTAACTAAATTTTTAACAATAAAAAGCAGTTGATAATAAATAAGCTATCAAACAATATTTATGCAAGTGAGAATGATTTACTTTTAATATCAATATGAAATTAAAGAGAAAAATCCCATAAGCAAAGTGATATCATTAAAATAATCATCTTTATAATAAAGCATAAATTATAGCCAACAAGAAGCCTTTTATACTAATTTACAAAATTTGTAGTTTTCCCGAACAGATTCTTCCAATTTCCCTCACCCACTACCCATCAAATAGTACAACCCCATAATTAATTCTCCCCTCCCCCTGCACATCCTCATTCCTCTGCTTCTACCATCCCCTCCTCCCTGATACTTATACTCATTCTACCATAATGGTTTTATAAAATATTTGTCCTTGTGGAACTGAATTAATTCACTCAGCATAATGCTCTCCAGTCCCTCCCAAGTTAGGTAATAATTTATAAAATCATTGCTATGTATGGAAATCTAAAATCTCTGTAAATGTTCATTAAAATTATTAAAATAAATTTTTTAAAAAATCATTGCTCTTGTGTGCTGTATAGTATTCCTTTGTGTAAACGTATCATAATTTCTCACTCCATCTGTTTGTAGTTGAACATGTGGGCTGTTTCCATGTTCTTGTGATGGCCAATAATGCTGCTATGAACACTGGTGTACAAATCTCCATTTGTGCCTCAGTTCTCATTTTCTCAGGGCATATTCCAAGTAGTGAAATAGCTGGGTCATATGGAATTTCTATGTTCACCTTTTTGTGGAAGCGCCAAACTGCCTTCCAGAGTGGTTGTACCATTTTAAAACCCCATCAACAACATATAAAAGTTCCTTTCTCACTCTTTTCCG